ACATATAATTTTAAATATAATATAAAATTTTTTTTTATATTTTATTTTGTGAAAAATGTAACAATTTATTCTAAATTAAATATAAAAACAATATTTTTTACTAATTTGCATTACTTGTTTTGTTATTATTTACATTACTTTCTTTATTATTTGTATTACAAAAAAGATATAATTAAGTCAATTTTGAATTTAATGTAAATATTTTTAAGATAATAATGCAATAGATAAAATAATGCTTACCCGTGGTGTTTTGAAAATCGGTGGGAAGACTTCGGCAGCATTGAAAAATGTACAATAATAAAAAAAACACAAATTGATGAATATTAATATGCATTATTTAAATTAGCGTCACCACTAATTCTCGTTATCAGGGCAATGCGACGACAACTCTTTAATAAAGACAATCTCGATAACCAGAGAACTCACAATGACTCTGAAATATGGAAAATCGCCGCTTATATACCTCACGCCTGTACTGTACGGGACCACGCAAACATTTCTTTCAAACTGAATATCTTCCATTAGGCGCTCGCGTGACTTGTACGTTTCTCACATAAAAATAATTTAATGAAAAATATTAATTATATTTTACTACTGTTAATTCAACGTGCAGCAAATTAATTATTTATTTAATTAACATACACTGCATTAATATACAAAAAAATAATTTCTTTGTTTAAGGAAAAAAATGAGACATATATGTGCAAAATATATACATACAAGAGAAATATTTTTAAAAATTTACAAATTTCAATAAAATATCTACTATAATTTGAACAATAAACATCTCGTTGAAATTATTTGCTATTGAGCGATATTTTATAGCCAGTTTAATATTTACCGTATCAAATTACTAAAGTACTAAAGTACTTTATGCGTGTAGTATTGTGCCGATTTAATATGGTAACTCGACGTCGCTTCAGTCCGCGGTCATTCAATGAACCTATTAACGCCACATAATTGACGCAAAGGCTAAGGCCGCGGATCAGAGGAGCCATTTTGTGGAAGTAGAGAAGCGAGGCGGGAGAATTACGCACGACCTATCCGGACAAAGGTTAATTCATGCGAATACTTGGCGCATACGCTTGTCAAAGCGAGAAGTAATAGACAGCCGGTAACTTGAGAAATATTCGATTCTGTTCGACGTTTCATTAAACCGTTCAACGCCTCAGACTCCGCGACGAGATCTCGCCGGGAGCTGGAAAAGGATAGCGGGACCGCTAGTTCTGAGAGAAGAGCGGAGAGAGGTAAGAACGTGGCGAAGTTGGGCGAGAGAAGTCGCGGAAGAGAATGAGAGACACGAGACTCTCTCTTTACCGATTACCCAGCAGACAAATCCAGCGGTCTTCCGTCTCCGTCTTTAAATGTGATACTCAAGAAAATGGACATCACCCACATACCTGTCCAGGCCATTGGCCGTGCCACGCAGCATATGTACGCACGCATTCATCGACATACGAAACACGCACATAAGCGTCGCGTGAGAAACGAACGGCGATTTGTATATCTTGGAGTAATAGGCGAACGATTAGACGCATATAGATGTAACTTAATATTTAGATAAAATCTATCGTTTTTATAACGTGAATTTAGTGACAAACGTACGAAAAACAGTTTTGTTTAAAGCATTTAAAAATTCAGCTATAAAATACAGATCTAAAAATAATTTTGTTGGACTATCAAGATAATTACGTAGGATGATCAAACTGATTGCTAAAATGTCAAAACTTTTTGTAATATATTGATCACTATACTTGAGATTTCTATGCAATTATTTTGAGGGTCCAACAAAATTCTTTTCAAATCATTATCTAATTAAATTTTTTAATACTTTAGCAAAATCATTTTTTTGGTTTCAATTTTAATTTTTATTTTATGTTACTTTGCATATGATCTTTATGTCACTTATGATATGATATGAATAAAATATATTCTCTGTTTAATGTATTTTTAATGTTGATATGGACCACTTTCAGATTTCTTAATCGATATCCATAACAGTTCGCCGAAAGAAACACGACTTATAATCAGGTGCGATTGAAAGAAGCGCATTCCAACATTTTATGCATGTCAGCTACTTATTTATGCACGCATCATTGATTGCTCCAAATAAAATGTAACTCGAAGTCGACCGATAATGGATCATGTTCGTTCTTATACGTTTTTCCTTTTTCTCTTTTTTTGATAAAGTTCCGAATCGCTCATATTCAATATAAAACATATAAAATAAAAATATAAAAATATAAAACATATAAAATAAAAATATAAAAATATAAAACATATAAAATAAAATTTAAAATGAATATAAAAAGAAATTTAGAAGCAAAGCTAGAACGAGAAATACATATATTGAAAAATGTAACTACTTTAGTCCGCAAAAAATTTAATTATTCTTGCTTCTCTAACGAAAAGGTAAAACTAGACTTATCTATATTTTAGCGACAAATTAAAGGCACAAAACTTGGACAAAGCATTTCCGCGAATGAGAGAAAAACGTAATTAAATTCGTAATTCTCTCAGAGAAATTCGAGTAATATACGTATTTCGTACTCGAATGGTAAAGCGTTTAGTGATACGGTTTTCAACGTTAAAAAGACGTGGTCTCTGTGTTCATTGCATGTTTAACAAAAGAAATACACACACACACACACACACACACACACACACACACACACACACATTCAAGTCCTCAAATTTCCGGATGCTTAACACACTATACATTTAACAGTAAATTCGTCATTCGCGTCCCAGAATCCATCTTTGGTGCTGCACCGACATTGCTCGAATGAGGCCTTTTGTGTCAAAAATACCACGTTTCACGAGATATTTTGTACGCAAGCAAAATTGACCCGCTTACAAAACAACTGTAAACTGTACGTAAAAGGGAGAACTGTAAATTTTTCAGAATATTCTTTGTACAACGTACATAAAATTGAATATTTTTAAAGGAATGCATTAACTAATGATTTTAAAAACAGAAAAGAATTCATATAAATGTTGAAGTTACATCGATGAGAAAATTACTTGATTCCGAAACGTTTTATTTATGATCTTCCATATAAAACTTAAAACACGAAATTTCTATCCTGGTTTATTCGCGATAAAAATTATGGACGCATTACATTTTTTTTCTAACAAAAAAGGAAATTATAAAAAATTACAGATTTTTGAATATTGTATTTGTAATACAAAAAGTTTGACAGCGGTTTAGAATTAGGATAAAAATTATTTCAATAAAATGTGGACATATTTTTAAGAAGTAATTACAATAAAAAGAGAAATTTTTCATTTAAATCATAAAATTGTATTGTTAACATAAATATTAATTTTATTGAACTGTTTTATATGTATATGTATAAATTCATTTGTTCTTTGCATTTTGCTATTATTGTTATTGTTGTTATTTTTTTATGTATTTTTTTTTTATGAAATATTTACATAGTCTTGTTTTAGCAATTAGTTAGTCTCAATCTGCTTGTTTATCTGCTTGTAATATAATTTCATCATTTAGCAAATCTGTAATTAATACGTAGTATTAAGTTCAGGTTTGAGTTTCAAGATAACATTATTACTGATACTCCAACAATAGATATTGTTTGTGTTACTTCTATTTTTTTTTTGCGTCTTTTGTGTCTTATTTTTCCTGCTATAGTTTACAAATGCACATTATTAAAAGTTATTAATATTATTTTTTATACAGAAAGAATAAACTTACTTCACTTTTTGTAGAGACCTGATACATTTTAATTGATGTATTGATAAATCTTTAAGTTTTAAAAGAAAATGGCTGTATTATACTTATGTATATAAAATTTATAATTATATTAAAATTTTTTTAATCTGTCTTGCTTGTTATTATCGTAATATATGTATATTATAGTTCGATGTTCCTCATAAAGAAAAAAATTGATAGCAAGAAAAAGTCGAGATAATGATTTACGAGCAAGAAATGATTAACTATGTTTAAATTAAGACAGATCCCAAGATATATTTAAGATAACATATAAAAAAACTTAACGTGATGACAATCCTCGGCATCACATATCAATTTTACGACCTTTCTTTAAAGATATTCGATCGTGAGATACGTTTACGCTGTTTGCTAGTCACCATAAGAAGAAATGAGAAATACACACGTCTCTAGAATGCCAAAAAATGATGAAAAAGAAGGATAAAGAAAGACGGGACGAAATCCGGAGAGATCGCGATTTAAGGGCAAAAGCTTCTGGCATTACCATTTAAAGTATTCTGTATATATCCCTTTTTTGCTTCTCACATCACTTTGGCACTCATAATCGCGAGATATTTTGCACGCTGCTATCTCCCCATTAAAAACGTTTTATCTATACGATATTTTCGGCGAGGAAGATATAAAATGTCGGTTTAAATTAAACGAACAGAGCTAACAGTAGTTAAGGTTTGCATAGTTTCATTTTATTATGCGGAGGATAATTTAATTAATATAACACATTTTAATTAATTAATGAATTAATAATTAGGTGTACAACTTTGCTTCCGCCGTTTTCCTATAAATGTCCTTTAGCGGTAAGTGGTGGTCGAAATAAATAGATCATAGACGTCATACAATAAACTTGGGCATCTGTCAACATAATCCCATAGAAACATTAGTCGATTTGTGTCTGCATCATAAAGTTATTCTCGATTGAAAATGTCAGTTTACGAGCCAAATTCTCGTCATTTGCGGGAGGTTTTAATTTTTTGCTTCAATATGAAGAAATCTGCGGCTGAGGCTCATCGAATGCTCTCAAATACTTATGCTGAGGCCGCTATTAGTGAAAGAACGTGTCGTGAGTGGTTTCAATGCTTCAAGAACAGTGATTTTGACGTCCAAGGTCATACTCTGTATTTGATGGGACCAGCTCGGCGTAGTGTATTATGAACTGTTAAAACCGATTGAAACAATCACAGGCGATCGGTATCGAACGCAATTGATGCATTTGAGCCGAGCATTGAAAGACAAACGGCTGCAATACAACAAGAGACACGATAAAGTGATTTTGCAGCATGACAATGCTCGACCCCATGTTGCGAAAGTGGTCAAGACATACTTGGAAACGTTGAAATGGGAAGTCCTACTCCACCTGCCGTATTCTCCAGACGTTGCTCCCTCTGACTATCACTTGTTTCGATCAATGGCACACGGCCTGGCTGACCAGCACTTCCGGTCTTATGAAGAAGTAAAAAATTGGATCGATTCGTGGATAGCCTCAAAAGATGACCAGTTTTTTCGACGCGGGATTCGTACGCTACCCGAAAGATGGGAGAAAGTAGTGGCCAGCGATGGACAATACTTTGAATCATAAATGTATAACCAGTTTTTTACAATAAAGCTTCGAATTTCGGAAAAAAAACGGCGGAAGCAAAGTTGTACACCTAATACAATATTAGGA